GCGAACATGTATAACCAATGTTATTTGATTTTAGGTCATGTTATTTCCAAATTGACATACTTGGTAGACGAACAAACAAAACAACAATATAAAAACTTGAATAACGAAGTCAAACGAGTGGTTAGTCAAGTGGTTAAAACGAAAAATAGTGCATGGGAACAAAAATTCCAATACCTAGACAACCACATAGGAGGGACAAAGAGCTCTGAAGCCTGAAGAAGTATAAAAACGATGAGAACAACGACAAAAAACCAAGTCATAATAAATAGAATACCAGAGAACACATGGGTAGAGCATTTTGAGAACTTATTAACAGAGAGAAGAGAAAGGTTTAAACAGACAAATGAGCAAGTGGAAGTAGAAGGAAGAATAGAAGTATCAATAGAACAAGTGAAAGAAGCAGTTAAGGGAATGAAATTAAGAAAATCTCCAGGCCCAGGCGGAATACATCCAGAGTTGATTAGGTATGGATCATCAAGACTGTTTGAAATGATCCGAAAATTGTTCGAAAGATGCTTAAACGGAGAAGAAGTTCCAGAAGAATGGAGACATTCGTATATCTCTCCAATACACAAGAAAGCCACAAAGACGGATCCTAAAAACTATAGAGGGATCGCAGTGATTGCTACTATAGGCCGACTATACTCAAAAGTACTGCGAAACCTGTTAGAAAATGATATTAAAGACAAACAACCCGAAGAACAAGCGGGATTTAGGGTCGGACGCTCCACTATGGATAATATTTTCACATTAAAAATTGCAATGGAAAAATGCAGAGAAATAGAGAAACGTATATAGCTATAATAGATTTGGAAAAAGCATATGACAGTGTGCCAATCTCCCAACTATGGATAGAAATGGGTAACTTGAAAATAAACCCAATTCTTATTAACGCCCCTCAAAAATACAACGAACAAAACTTTGCAAGAATTAAAATGGGACAAGAAATCACCTCTCCTTTTCAAACAACAAAGGGACTAAGACAAGGCCTGTCTGTCACCCACCTTATTTAAAATCTAATTGGACAGATCCTTAGTAAAATAAGTAAAAAAATGTAGAAACATGGGAATAACGGTGGAAGAAAACAAGCTATATACACTTTTTTTTGCAGATGACCAGGTAGTAATTGCCGAAGACAGCTACTATCTTAGCTATATGGTAAGAAAACTGCGAGAAGAATATGTGGTGGCACGTCTAAACATGAATATGACAAAATGTAAATATCTCTCATTTTCAACAAGAAGGGAAATAGCGCAGATGAAATCAGGGAAAGAATAAAAAAGGGCAGAGCAGCGACCCGCGCCTTAAACTCTCTTCTCTGGTAAAAAACAATTTGACGAGAAACCAAAAAAACACATTTACGCTAATATAGTCCAAAGTATTACACTTTACGATTCGGAAGTATGGGACGTCACCAAAGCTAATAGAAACAAACTTATGACGACAGAAATGGATTATCTGAGACGAAGCTGCGGTAGATCGAAACTGGAGAGAGTTAGAAACGAACAAATAAGAAACGAAATGAAAATGGAGCGAAATATCAATGATGACTTAAAAAGAAAACAATTAATCTGGTTCGGACATGTTAAAAGAATGCCAGAGTACAGATGGCCTAGAAGAGTACTGGAATGGATCTTTCCTGAAAGAAGAAAGAGAGGACGACCACGGAGAAGTTGGCGCAACGATATTGATGAAGCAATGGTGGCAAGAGACTTAGAAGAGGCAACTGCATATGACAGAAAAAGATGGAAATTGGGGGGTGGAAAAGCGGCGAAAGCCGTAATCAATCCATTATATACATATATATATATATATATATATATATATATATATATATATATATAATATATATATATATATATATATACTTGGTCCCGATCTTGTAGACAGCAGCACGTAGCATCAGCAATTGTGATTGTGTAACGTAAATTGTGCAATGTAGATTTGTGTCTTGCGTATGTATTGTGTATATGATTTTAGTTGATGTTGGTCGACCTCATCTTACTCCGCTACTGTGTGGTCTGTGTTCTTTGTCGCAGGTATGTTTGCATATCTGGAATTTCTCGAAGTTTCTGTTCTTGATGTATGTTTCATGTTCGTTTATCCTGGCACTTAGTGGTCATAAAGTATACAATGATGACAACAATACCATATGTAAAGGGCTTATTAGAAAAACTGAACAGGATAGGAAACAGGATAGGAAACAGAATAGATGCCTTTGAGATGTATATATACAGACGAATATTGAGAATTCCATGGGCACAAAGAGTTACTAATTTTGAGGTACTTCGTCGAATGTGTAAACAAAAAGAATTACTAAGAATAATCAAAGAGAGGAAAATGCAATAATTGGGTCATGTGTTGAGAGGCGAAACATATGAATTACTTCAAGTTATACTGGAAGGAAAAATACAGGGCAAAATATCAGTATTAAGACGCAAGAACTTATGGCTGAAAGACCTAAGGAGATGGTTCGACCGCTCATCCGCAGAAATCTTTCGCGCAGCAGTTTCCAAAACCATAATTGTCATTTGGATCGCCAACCTTCGAAATGAGACGGCGCCATGAGAAGAAGAAGAAGATAGGAAACACGTTAAACGACATTCGTAACAACCAACACAATAACACCTATCCTGTCAAAAAGTAAACCAAAAACACACAAGAAAAATAAAAAATCTGCATGTATAAAATAAAAAACTGTAAATGCAACAATTTCTACGTTAGAGAAACCGCACGTGCCAGGATAAACAAGCATGAAACATACATCAAGAACAGAGACTTAGACAAATCTCAAGAACAAATCTCAGATATGCAAACATACTTGCAACAAGCACAGAGTACAATCGAAAGATGCATTAATAACCATGAAAGGAACACACATTAAAACGAGAAAAATCCGAAACAGCCTTTTAAGACAGCTCTCGTCATAATGAAGAAAACTGTGTAGCAAACCCATCGAGCAAAAAGACAGAATAGGGAATGTAAAGGTAGTGGTGGCAAAAATATTGTGCCATTTTGAGAGGCCACATTAAACAAGGAAACAGAGTCTCTTTCCTTGTTTAAGAAATTAAATTTAGTTTGGTTATGTTATTGTTTGTCCCATTGTCACATGAAATCTTATTTTTATTGAAGTTTTTTAACAATTGTGTCACATTTTAGACTATTATTTGTAAATATTGCTAATATTTAATTAAAACTTTCTCGTCTAAGACACATTCTGAAAAATAGTTTATAGCTACTGTTGTGTCGGAAAATTTAAATTTGGCGCCTTTGCATTTCCGGATATGTCCGCCATATTAAGAGGCCACTTTAATGAATTTGGTCTCCTTTTCATAACGATTATATTTCCTCTTTTGTCTTTTTGCTCGATGAGCAAACCCTTCAGCAGAATGTAGCTGGCATTGGTTGCCAATACTAAAAAAGTCAACAACAAGAATATATCAACAATAGGGGAGCAACGGGAGACCGAAAATCATCACCTACAATCTTATACACAATACGTATGCAATACACAACACAAATCTACATTGCACAATTTAAGTTTCACAATTACGATACAGTTGACACAAACATATAACACAAAAAAGACAAAACAGTCATAATTTGATATTCCTACGGGAAAAGCACCACCCTCGATTTTTTTCAGTTATTTACATGCTACTGCCTACAAGATCCAGGCCAAGTGTGTCAATTTTGAAATGACATCCTAATAACAAATAACTTTGGTTATACATTTTCACATCTTTCTGAGAACGATTTCCGGATTGTCTGAGTGGAATTCGAAATGTCAAGCACTAGTAGTTAAATGGGATTTTCATTATAACCAATAAATGTTTCTTAATCCCATATAAACATAATATTTATATTTTTTATTACTTTTAAGTGTGATATTCAATTGTCAAATAACTGTTAAAGTTGATAATTAATAAAAGTTCTCTCATAGAAAATAACACTTTTAAATGATTTTGTCAAGATAAAATCGTAGGTAATAGATGAATTACACTTAATGGTTAAACTTCAGTATTTATAATAAATTGATAAGCTTTGAATCAATAATTTATAGAATCAGTAGAATCGCTGGTTCTGACTAAATATGCCTAGAAGAGAGCAGACAGTCTTAAAAGGACAGGGCGTCCTAAAACTTATTTAAGAAAAGTGCCAATGAAATCTGCAATATTTTTTCTAAATTCTAATTTAAAGAATTTTGTTGTGACAATTTTTATCTTTAGGATATAACGTTGAATTTGATTTTTAAAATGCATTTTGGACGTCTTTATTATCTTGTTTTATTTTGAATAAAATTACCCATTTCAGAAGACGCAGTGTAGTTATTAAGAAAGTTCTTTTTAATGATTGTTTAAAAAGTTTCATGTATTTGATATCTCCTAAGATTTGTTATGTTAATAACTCACACTATGACGGTAACTTCTTAATCAAACAATGTAAAAAATATCGCACATGACAGATTGACAGTAAAAATATGGAAATCTATATTGAAAACATTATAAAATGTTTGAAACCAGACCATCACAGAATAAAATGCGAATATATAAAACGTTTATAAGGCCGGTACTAACTCAGACAAAGTGAGAATTGATACATTTTAGACCAAAAAAACAAATGAAAAAACAGCATATGCAATTTTTAAAAATCGTTAGATCTCACTTGTACCCAGAATAAAGATCAAATAAAAATTGAGAAACAGGAATTAAAAAATTCATCAAGGGTGATCAAGATTCAAACGTGTAATTCAATCGGCAACCCAAAATAAATAATGTATTCAACTGGTTATATCAACATGTCTATTATTTATGTTTTTATTTTTATTTCTTTTATTTTACAGTTAAAACATAATCTGCAATGGAAGGAAACATCCGAGATTTGAGTGTTTTAACTCGAAATGCCTCATTCGATGTTAGAAAAGAATCTGGGTTAAGTTTGAAGTCATCTCTCAGACATATCTTATCACTTGATCTTCGAGATGATTTAATCTTTCCCAGTAGTGGTTCATTACTCCAGTTGACTTCTGAAGTTGCTGGTTTAGGTGGAGATGTTGGTTTCCTGAAGAATGATATATTCGTTCAAGGAAATTATTCTATTGCTGAGGATATAGTAAGTGTGATTGTAATAAATATGTATTATAGTAGAATAGAAACTTGAATGCAGTTAAATTTTTTCATTTAATATTATATTAATTTTTTACGCATAGGCTGTCATATTAGAATGAATAACTTGTTTTATTATCACTAGCTAATATTTCTCTAAATAATCCGAAAATTGCAGGAGTGTTCTTGAGTATTCAAGTTAATAATAGAGTTACTTATAATTTTTAACGAATGTAACCCTTACTTTTAACAATGTATAATTGGTCCATCATTACTCCCAACTGCTGTAACATGAATAAGGTACAGAACTCTTTATAAGGAAAATACAACGTGCTCTTCACCGAGCTTACATAAATGTATATCAAGTAAACAGTATCTAGATCACATTCCATTTTGGATTAGAGCGCAATGAAAAGAGATAAAGTGATAAAAACGAGACAAATAGTGATGCTTCTAAAATTGTAAATACATCGGTTTGTCTCTTAATTAACAAAAACTCTTTAATATGCAATCGATTTCAGGAACCCGAAAAAAAAATGGAGTAAATAATACTCAAAATTGTGAAATATGTCTTAGTAACATGGAATGTAGTATTAGGAAACTAGTACTAAGAAGTACTATACCCTGTCTACCCAACAGACGGAGTTATCACGTGAATACCATGTGAACTTATGAAATATTATAATCATTCCTACAAACTGTCAAACTAGTCAGAATTCGTGGCAAACAGTTGGTCAGTGAGAGAACAATAATACTGTCATTAGTGCTATCCTCCTTACTGCGCTGGTCGACTATTCGCTCATAGTTTTGGACGGTTCGGCCACTTGTTGGGAAGAAACCTATTATACGAATACGTTCGCATTGAACCAGTGACGTAACAGAAAAATAAAATAAAAAGTTATTATACAGACAAAAATTGAAATAAACGATTTTATAACAACATGTTATGTACATTGTAATGAAAAAAAAAACTGTAAATTTCAATACGATGATTTGGGAGCGTTATAAAAGCTTGAGATACCGCTAAAATGTAAATAACGTAAGCTTGACTGTACGGAAAATATATATAGCGTTAATTTTAAACAATTTCTAGCATTTGGCGTAGAAGTGGACAATACAATTTTAAAATATAACTTTACTAAACAATAAAACCTGGAAGTGTCTTTAACAAATGGGGAGAAATGGCAATCAAAATACTATAGGCTAACTTTAGGCAATGTGGACATTATACACATGTAAACTTAAATGTGTACGTAATGGTAGCTTACCCCACTGATGCTTTAAAGTGTGCACCAGGTCTTACGTGATAGGTCAAATTCAAGAGGTGTCTCTGTGATGAAAGGTATAACTGTATTTGGTTCAGGTTCCGACCATTCATAGATTCATTTGGTGGTCATGTTGAACTCGGTAGCTGCAGCTAATTCTGCGGTTTGTATTGGAGATTTTCTGGAGGGCAGTCGACCTTGGTTTGCATCTTTTATATAGTTGTGAATCGGCACCGCCGTGTTGCTAAGGATCTTGTTATATACTTTGGTCAGCAGATTGAGTCGGCGAAGGTGTAATGGTGTAACGTCGCTCAGCATTGGTACCAAATGGGTTGGTGTAGGTTTGGGTGAGCTGGATATAAATTCTTTGAACATCAGCTCTGTTGATCCATATTGGTATGCAATATTCAGCTAGAGAATAAACAATAGCTAAGCCTGAAGACCTGAGTCTAGATACCGATGCCTCCATTTTGTGCCGCAGAGCTTCTGAATTATGTTATTTTTGGTTTTTAGCTTCTTAGCAACTATACTTAAATGTTCTCTAAAGCTTACCGTTCTCTCCAAAACTACGTCCAGGTATTTTGGATGTTTATTGTGGTTGAGTCATGTGTTATCAAAAGAACGTTAAGTAGTGTTCTTGACTCCAGATTGTTGTTTAGGTGAAAGTAGGTTACTTCAGTAGAGTCATTGGGGCGAAGTCTCCATTTTTGAAAGTAATGTCCTATAATCGCTAGGTCTTCCGTCAGAATCTCTTCAGCTTCTTTTGTGATTTTGTTGGTGTTAATAAAGCCCAGTCATCAGCATAGCTAAACTTTGTTGATGTTATCGGTATGTCTGCGATATAAAGGCTATAAAGCAATATTGCGAGTAACGAGCCTTACGGTAGACTATTTTTTGAGTTTTCTGGGGGTGCTTATTTCGGATCCCATAGTTACTTGAAATACTTTGACGCTGATGTTCTATTAGTCTAGCGGGGAATTTGCAAGGCAGAGTACGTAAGAGTCTATAAATCATACCTTCTGGTAAGACTGTGTTGAAAGCTGCAGATCATTGGGTTGATTCTTTTAAACATTAATCTTTCAAGTAGTTTATACTATAAAATTTATATTATAAGAAATTGGTCGATAGTTTTCTGGGTGATCAACTGGTTTATCTGGTTCTAGTATTTCTATGAATTTTGAACGTTTAAATTCCCGTGGGATTCTAAATGCAATTGAGTATGCATTCGGGGTGGATGCCGTCGAAACCTAGGTCTTTTTCCGGTGAAACGTCTTTAAGTGCGATCTCCATTTCTTCACTTGTCAAAGGGCAAGAATGTTTGGTCTCAATTGAATGCGATTTTAAGGAATTTTATTCGCTGTCGGAAGTGGAAGTTTCGGAATCATCATTAAGATTAATAATTAATGGTTCGACGGTGATTTCCATTATTCTATCAGTTTCCCACATTTTTGATTCCTCTTTTTTAACGTGCTCAATTGCCTTCTGCCAATTATGTGCTGTTACATTTTGCACTGCTTTATAAAAACACTGTTTGACATCAGCAATTTTAAAAGAGGTGTTGTTTCTTGCCACTTCTCCCTTGATTTGGGCCCAGATCAACTCAATTGGGTTAAACTCACAATGGTAAGGTGGCAAACGTAAAACATAATGTTCTTTTCTTGCAGCCATTTCGTCTGTAACATATCGGTCAGCTGGTTTATTGGCCTTTACTAATGTTAGCAATTCGGCTTTAACCATATCTTCCGTAAAGGCTATGCCGTGTCTATTCAACCATGCTTGTATTTCCGCCTTTTTTGTAGCTGATGTAGGGGATTTATCAATACGTCTACTGTGGTACGAAGCGTTGTCCATAACTATTACAGAGTTTTTTGCTAATTGTGGCAAAATATTTCTGAACCAGTTTTCGAACACCTCAGCATTCATATCTGCATCAAATCCATCCTCTGGTCCGATATGTAATATAATTAGACGTTTACCTTTACCAGAGGGAGCTTTTAACTTAGTTTACAGACCCTCCAAAAAGGCTTGTCTGGGATTTTTAATATTTTCATCCACCCATATTTTGCTGGTAGTTTGACCTGCATTTACCCAGGTTTCGTCTAGATAATAAATCTTCCGCCCTTCCTCTCTCAACTTTTTGATTTCGCGTAGATACCTACATCTCCAGGAGATTATTTCATCTTTTTCTGTTAAGATGCTATTCTTTTTTCTGGTTATAAAACTAAAACAAAAAACGTTATGTAATTGATATTGTAATTCATTTGTAACACATTTTTACTTACTGAAAGTTAATTTCCTTAACCAATTTAGCAAATCTTGCTCGTTTGAAATTTGGCAAATTGTCGTCGTTATTAATTTCAGTCAACATTTTATTTAGTGTTGGAAGTTCATTTCTGAAAAAAAACTCATGAATTTTCCTCCGAATTGATGTTTTAGTAGCATCTGAAATATTATCTAATATTTTTCTTGTCCTATGATATTTTTTTGGAGGAGAAAAAACACGAGTTTGTCTATATTCCGCCAACACTTTAAAAACTGTGCTCACTGCTACCCCTAGAAAAAATACGCAATATAGTATAACAATATATGAAATAGTATATATGAAAATAAATACAATATAATAAAAAAAAAATTAAAAAACTTAATATCTTACCCGCTGCACTTGAAACAAAATTCACAGATTCTGTCTGATTCGTGTTTGGACGAGTTTGTCTATCAGTTTTAAAAATATTTAAAATTGTTTCTTTCTCTGACACCGATAAATGTGTTCGTCTTCATTTTCTGGGTGGAGATTCTGGAACGAATTGTTCAACTTGCGCATTATTTTGCTGTTGGTTATCCATATCTAAAATAAGGCAGTGATATAGATATTTATTTTACAAATTATTTTACGCTTTGACCAACTTGTTTTTTAATATATATTCTCAGGTTCAGAAATAATTTATACATTTTTATACTGCGTGATTACATCCACAATAGTTTTTTGACCAATATCTGTATTAGTATATGTACTTACCTAATTTCTTTACAAAACACAAAAATGTACAATACACAATATAAGTCTTAACATATAAAATAAATACAATTAACACGATAACATAATACACAGCGCAATATTTCTTCAAAATACCTTAACGTACGCCCTTGTATGCAATACCGATAACTGACCGATACAACTTCTGCGAAGTAAGTAATTTGACTGTCGCTTTTCAACAATCACGTGCAGATCACGCATTTTTATTACTCCGTCTGTTCGGTAGACGAATTATAAGAAAACGAATTTTGCAATCGTGCACACAGATGCATTGCTGCAGTGGCGAAATTTCTAGGCGGTACTTTGACTAGTTAAATATTGTTATGAAAATAAATAATTCTGATTTATGTTACGTTTTAGGTTTTTCAAGCATGTTTCAGCACGGGTTACATGACCAGTATTAGTAACGATTTGAAAATAAGTCTTTCTGACATGTACTTCCTAGGAGGTCCATTATCACTAAGAGGATTCCAAAACCGTGGAGTTGGACCTCACTCCGACGGAGATGCGCTCGGATCTAAAGCTTACTGGGCTGGAGGTCTACATCTTTTTACACCATTGCCTTTCAGGCCAGGTCGAGGAGGATTTGGTGAGCTTTTTAGGACACACTTTTTTATGAATGCTGGGAATATTGGAAATGTAAAGGTTTGTATTTATTACATATTAATATATTATTTTTATATTAATATTATATATGTATATATATATATATATATATATATATATATATATATATATATATATATATATATATATATATATATATATATATATATATATATATATATATATATATATATATATATATATATAATATATATATACATTAAAACTTAGAGCTAAGATTAATATTATTACTAAAATTAATATCAAACTCACCAGTCTTCCGGGTTGAACCGCGTCGATGTCCATTTTGCCAAGCTTTCGGCATCCTCCCTGATGCCTTCCTCAGTGCTTCCGAGGTCTCAGTCTCCCGAGCCCCCAGACACTACTACACTGTTCACTATTCACGGCACAGTCACTACTACGGCTGGGAACAGGAGACGGTTCATTTATACCGTCGATGATGGCGTGGCCTAGGTGGGAGTTGGGGTGGGGGTTGGCGCGAGAATTGGTGCTGGGGGTTTGGCGCGAACATTTCCGACTGTGGAATTTTGATTCGAGGATGGAGGGGGCGATATTTTCTTAATGAAAATATCGCCCCCTCCATCTCTTTCCTCTCACCTCCATTCTTAATGAAAATATCATCATCCAAAAATATATAAATATATATATATATATATATATATATATATATATATATATATATATTTATATATATTTTATATATATAATAAATATATATATATATATATATATATATATATATATATATATATATAATATATATATATATATATAGCATTTCATTTCAGTTGAGCCACAAGTGTTCCTGATTAGAGTTGAATAATCCCAAATACATGTAGAATAATTGTGGCATTCGAATTGAAGGGAAATGCTATAGTCTATTTTATGTAGCGACTTTTTCTCTACGTAAAGAGAGCAGAACTGTAGAGGTATTGTCGGAATAAAAGTGTATATTCCGAACATATATATATATATAATATATATATATATATATATATATATATATATAATATATATATATATATATACATATATAATAATATATATATATATATATATATATATATATATATATATATATATATATATATATATAGTAGATACAAAGGACCCATGATATAAGGAAACAAGGTATGCTCACTAGGTGGACTCGTTTTTGCACATTTCTGCGCCGACCAAAATCCACCATCTTTTCAATATGTCCGTGCGTGTAGGGATGGTGACCTGATCCCGTACCAGGTATTTTGGAACATGTATTTTATTTATACTTGTGGAACTGATCCCTAACACCAATATATTATAATAAACGAGTACGGGTTTCATTGCATTTGTCCTTAATTTTTATCGTGCATTTCTCAAAGTTTACAAAGCTTTAGATAAATATCAACAGATGACAATTGGCGTGAAGTAGACAAAACTATCGCCATTTTTTTATGAACTTTTTATACAATCTCTGAATAACAGTAATTTAAGTATTTGAAGTTAAACAGTCATTTAAATAACTATAAAGAAATCTAACAAAATACAAATAATGTTGTCGTTATGTTTAGATATCTATTAAACGAATGATAACAAAGTGATTTCTAAACCAGTATTTTTTAACAGGTATATTTGTTTACGCGTATCAGTTTGACCTGATCCACAAAAATACTTGGATCAACCACCTCTACATGCCTGACATCTGCTTTGTTTTGCATTTTTTAACCTTACTTTGCAATGTATTGGAATTTAAAAGTAAATTTGTTTCGATCTTTTTAAAATTATTTTAGCAAGAGTCTGTTCAGATCATTTTGAATCTGAATTAATTGGATTAATGTAGAATATTAATTTTATTTTATTTAATTTAACTACGATATTTTTTATCAAATTTGTACATATTTGAATTGCCGCCTTCAAAATGGCGGATTTTGGTCGTAAACGCGATTGGCTGTTCAAAATAGATGCGCGTGAGCATACCATGTTTCCTTATATCATGCAAGGACCTCTTTTAATCCACTTGTTATCTCCTTCTTCAAACTATTCACTTCTTTTCGTTACGCCGGTATCCAAACTCACGAACCACACCCTATCTTGAGACAAACGACTGTTTTCTTTCAGACTTCTCCTCTCTCATGATCGACTCACCAAATTCCCATTTAAAAACGACCGTCCAATCAAAAAGCTTAAATTGTGTTTACCATGATTTTGGAAAAGCCTAATTTCGGTTTCAGAGAAAACTAAATAGCTTACTTTAAAATTGGTTTTTTTTTTTCAATACATCATTTATACATATTTCAAAAGATTAAAATATGGTCATTTAATACTCGACTATACAAACAATGAAAAGATTAACTTACAGGTAAAATGTCTTCTAATTCTAAACAAAGCTTTTTTGATAATTTTGTTTGAAACGGAAAAAGGTCGTTTTCTATTCTTATCTACACTAAATCTTATCTTAAATTACTATATACAATTTGTTTATATTGATATCTTGAAATTTTATTTCGATGGATTTTTTTATTTATTTTTCTTTGGTTGGAAAAGAAAAAGTATGACAATATATATATATATATATATATATATATATATATATATTATATATGTGTGTGTGTGTGTGTGTGTGTGTGTGTGTGTGTGTGTGTGTGTAAAAGATTAAATCTTTTATCGAAAGCCGCTATCGCTTTATTGAATTAAATGGCCAAATATATGGTTTAGGAGGACAAATTCGTTAAACTTCCCGTGCTCGAATCGGTATCAATAAAGTGTTATGATCATTTCGGCCTATCCCAGCCTCATCAGACACTTGAGCTGATACAAATTCAAACTCGGAAAGTCCAACGAATGTCTCCCAAAACTTCACTACAACGTAGTTAACTTACAAAGGCGCCACCTGCTTTGGTGGCCGTGAACGAAACGATATGATAATATCGTTTTCTGTATCCTTTGCGCTATGCGAAATGTGTAAAAGATTAAATCTTTTAGCGAAAGCCGCTATCGCTTTATTGAATTAAATGGCCGTCACGCCAAGATATATTTGGCCATTTAAAAGAAATGAAAATGTCGTCTTTGGTGCCGAGATTCGAAGATTCGAACTAGTGCGCTCTGACTTACGAAGCTAGTGTCTTGCCGCTGAGTACCGCCGTCCACAAGAGGACACAAATCAATGATAGACTACATTGTTACAAACAGAAATATCCATTACCAATAAGTATTAGATGTGCGGAGCCTAAGCTCAGCTAATGTAGACACTGACCATATGTTAGTTTTGATAAAATTCACTTTAATGTGATGAGAAAATGTAAAAATAAATCACCAAAACTCGAAACTAAAATTAATATAGAAAAACTGTACGGCTAGTCGATGAAAAAACTATATCAAAGTGGGCTGGAATAAGAAATGGAACAACAAAGAATCACGTGGGAAGAAGATATAGAAATTAGTTGAGAACATTTTAAAACCAACAAAAAAAAAACAATGGCAAAAGTTTCTCAGGTTCAGGTTCTTGGAGAAAGGCAAATAAACAGAAACAAGAAAAAACACACCTTGGTTTTTGGAAGAACGTAGGAGGCTTGTGAACAATATTAAAGGGTTCGTAACGAGACATATGCACTAGTCAAACAGAAGAAAACAGAGCAATGGGAAAGTTTCTCGAAAGAAGTGAAACATGATGTTTATGGATTACAGAAAGAGATGTGGAACTTCATAAGGGGTCAAAGAAGAGAAATGAAGGAGTTAATAGAAATTTATGAATAAATGGATGCAAGAAAGAAAAAGGGAATGGAACAGCCATACCAGTCGAACGGCAGAGGACAAAGTAGTTAGAATAGCCCGGGGTAAGTCACCAACAGTTCATCCACGGAAAAGATGATATTCCACTAGGATAGGGGACGTCGATTATATAAAAGAAGAGGAAGAGGATTTCAGTTAATTGCTGTAATTTGACAGTAGAGATTTGTATAATTTATATAATTTGGATCAAATGCAGTTTAGCATTTATCTAGTGGTCGATTTGACATTTAATTAAAGACTATTAAATTGACAAAAATAGGAAAAATTAATAATTTTTCGAAATAACTTCAACTTCAAAATAATTTAAACAGGTTAAACAGTGTATCTTCTAGTTACTTTGATGAAACTGATTTCGAATCTGCAAGGTTTAATGTGATCCAGCTTCTAAGTAACGAGAAATTGACCAGAAAATGCACTTTTTAAAGAAAAATTTATTTTGAAGGCCTTTTGAAGAATTAATCATTTTCACCTTCCAGTTTCAATATCTCAGTAGTTACACATTGCATCATATATATGAAGTAATTTACGAAGGCTAAACTCAGATGATAAAATTATATATTTGCACTTGACATGAATAAAATCACTTATATAAAGTCACTTTATACTAAACTTAATTTAAGCCCATTCTGTTCATTTCTGGCCCTACTTATTTTGTTACCACAAATTTTTAATCTGATGTTTTTTTAAACTTTTATTTAAGCTGTCTATAAAACGGCTAGAAATTATATTTTTCTTATAAATATGTTGCATTGACTTTACCCATTTCCCTGAATAATTTGTTTTAGAAGGATATGACAGTCCAAATGTTGCCGTTTTCGTATCTTAATGCTATGCTAAGAACGATTTCCGAAGTGGAAATTGAAACGTCAATAAACTTACTTTAAACTTTAATTGTGGCTTATTCCCATTTAAATAGTAATTATATTTTGTCAAGTTTGCAATTGGAAACAACAAACGTCAAATAAAAATTATTTAAATTGTTTCCTTTTTTCTTGATTGTTGTACCTATCAAACTATTACAAGCAATTACAGAAACTATTGTTGTATATGTAAAGTAATTTTTATTTTTTACTTTGTAGTACTTAAGGATGGCAACTTACTCGATTTAATCCAGAATAACTTAAGGGTGTCGTATGGACTTGGAGTTGCATTGAGACTGGGTAATATGGCTCGCTTAGAAATAAATTACTGCTTTCCATATATTTACGACAAAGGAGACCAAACCCACCCAGGTGTTCAGTTCGGAATAGGGGTCCAATTTTTGTAATGATAAATTACAAAGTATTGGGAAGTTTTAGTCAGTACAAACTGTATAATTACAAAAATCAAGTGTGTATGTACCATAGAAGTGAAATCTTGTTATTTATTAAAATTGACATTGTTGCCTTAGTTATATTTTATTTATAACAACACACCACTTTTTCGTATTACATTAAATTCGAACAATAGCATTAGCTGGAACTAGACATATCAAGCTTTTCAACCTGAAAGTTATAGCAATAATATTAAAGACTTATTGAATACGAACACCTACAATAAAGTGAAAGAGAAAACAGACAGAATTTATTAAGAGAATCTCATCAATGTAGTCAAAGTAGTCAGCAATGAACCAACCAGATGTAAAATAGAAATTGATGGCATCAGTATTGAACAAGTAATAGTAATAAAATACCTGGTAATTACACTGTCCAGCTATGGAGACCTAGACAAAGAAGTGAAAGATCAAGTACAAAAAGCAAATAGACTGGCAGGGTGCCTTAGTAACACTATATGGCGAAACAGACACATTAACACTGAGAGTACTGAGAAGAACTGCAGGAAATACCCTGAGAGATCAAAAGAGAAGTGGAGACATTAAAAGAAAATGTAACGTATATTTTATAAATAAATGGATACAAAATAGAAAAAAAGAATCAAACAACCACTTAAGCAGAATGGAGGAGACCTGTGTCGTTAAAATAGCAAGACATAAGTCACCAATCGGCAAAAGAAGTATCGGATAGCAAAAGATAGAGTGACAACCTTTAGTTATTAGAGGTATTAATCCGCCAATGAACAAGCAAAAATTGCGTATAAAAAGGAAGAAGAAGAAGGAAACAGACTGAAATTATTTGGAGAAAAACTAATTAACTTGAATATCAAATCACGAAAATTGTAGGAAAGACAAAATAATTAATCAAGACCTTCCACAAATTCACAAAGAAAATATTCCTTTAATAATTGTCAGTGCAATTGACTCTCCTACATAAGATATCTAGTAATATCTAATGATGTCTGTTTGATAAATTCTTACTATTTTTACTGTGAATCCGGATGCCACAAGAAAATAGCAGAACAATATTGAAATATTTTACATACTCTTCTAAAAGGATAAATTTATTACAACGAACTTGCAACTCATGTACCCCTTTAATTTTTTTTAGCTTAACTGCAAACCAAACCTTAAGCTCCTACAATCTCTTCAATAAGAGAATAAAATGTACGACCTTTAAAAAAATACCACCTTTAACAGTACAGATGAACGAAGAATTGACCACAACAGAAATGTACCAACACATAATGGAAAAATAAACAAAATAGCAAACGCGGTGCTGGGTATTGAACAACACATAAATACTTATTTGGAGAAATACAATGACGACTTAGAAAAGATGATTAAAAGGAAAAAAGATACGTTTCATAAATGGCCCAGTTCGGTCGTGATCATTGAATCGACTGATCGATTTATCGAGTGCGAAGTGTCACAACACCAGTGTCCAATTTCGAATAATTTTGTTAAAACTTCGAGTGTAGTAGATTTTATAAGAAACTTAATTAACAGTGAGTGTATGAGTGCCAACCAGCTCCAAATTAGAACTCAACGACCATCCAGAGGTGACATAGATGTCTCAAATAATCCAAATGTAAGTACAATAATTAATATTTCTAACGTAAAACATACGGAGACAACAGATATACAGCAGAAACCAGTACATATTTCAAGTTTTTATAATAATGTAGATGAAGCTCCTTTTTACGTGTATGAAAATAGTCTAGATAAATTCGATGGTAAATTAAACTCAATTAGAACAGGAGATATTTTGTTCAAAGAACATCCAGAATTGGATTCCAAAATTAATTGCATAGATTCTAAAGGGCGTAATAGGTTAAGAATTAAATTAAGACTATAAATCGGCCAATAATTTATTAAGATCGGTTAATTTAAAGAAATATAATTTGTTGGCATACATTCCTAAATTCATTACACATAAATTTGGTATAATACGAAATATAGATTATGAGTTTGATGAAGGGTATGTGAAAGGGAAAATAAATCCGATTGATATGCATTGTAAATTTAGTGTTGAGGCAATTAAACGAATGAATCGCAAAGTAATTAAACGGTAAAGAATACGTGCCTACAAAAACCTTTTTTGTTACTTTTAAAGCATCTAGGTTACCATAATATATATATATATATATATATATATATATATATATATATATATATATATATATATGCATTAATCATGTAAGAATTCCGGTAGAACCCTACGAGCAAAAGGTCCTATTATCTATTCATTGTTTTAGATACGATCATTTAATAAAGCAGTGTAAAAGTAACGTTCGCTGTTTAAAAGAGGGACACGAGACAAAATGTAAAAAAATTAGTAAAAAAAAAACATGTTTCTATTGTAATTATATAATAATATATGGTTTAATAAAACACCAATTCCCAATGATTGGATTATATTATAGTCCTTTATTAAAGCATGTGAAAAAATCTAATAATTCAGATTCTTATCGACCTATAGCTATGGTATCTTGTTATTAAAAACTTTTGAACGAATAATTAAAAACCGACTAGAACATTTTTTAGAATTCAATAAATTATTACCTGAAAACCAATTCGGATTTAGAAAAAATCGTTCAACGTTAGATAATGTGACTACTCCAGTTACTGACATACAAAGTGGATTCTCACACAATTTTTCAACAACCTGTTTATTTATAGATATAAAAGGAGCGTACGATAATATTCAATTAAACATTTTAATGGACAAGATGCAAAAGCTAAAACTACCGGAATTACTAGCTTCAGATTCATTAGAAACGTGTATAAGGAATAACGGATTTTCCGTTTCAGAAAATAAGTCAGCGGCTGTTACATTTACTGGGAAGATGTTTCATTATCCGTCTTCCATAACACTAAAGAGTTACACAGTCCCGTACCTAGCTTCAATTAAGTATCTAGGTATTACTCTAGATACGAAACTTAACTGGAAATCTCATATTCATTATATAACATCTAAAATTGAAAATGCTATAAACATCATAAAAGTTTTCAGCCATAGTAAGTGGGGGGCAGATCCTAATATTTGTCTTCTATTTAATAAATCTTTTACCCAGTCAATAATCGATTATGGGTGCGTATTATATGGATCGGCCTCTGAATGTCATCTTAAAAAGATTGATCAGATCTAAAATAAATGTTTACGAATCTGTAATGGCTATCTGAAATCTACACCTATAGTTGTTATGGAGGCGGAAAGTTGCATACCTCCAATTCTGTTAAGAAGACAATTCGTAAGTAATAAAAACTTATTTAAGATATACAAAAAAATGACAATCTTACACACACAATTCATCAGTTAACTATCGAGGTTTTAACAAATCGATATTGGAAATATAAAAAAAAACTCCTCTATTGATCGAAAGTTATTATAACTACCCAGAAATTAAGGACAATATAATGACTATTAACAACTTCACGTCATTTAAACACTACGATATTCGCCCTGTATTCAATTTAATCGATGACTACCCTAGACTCCCGGAAAAATTACTAAATAAATATTTTCTTAATAAAATTCATTATAAATGGGAAAATCAAGATTACATCTTTACTGACGGTTCTGTAATTAATGGAAATACCGGTTTGCCTCTTAATCACGTTAATAAAAAAAAGCGACTGTATAAACTGCCTAAGGGATCGTTAATATCCACTGCAGAGATAGTCGGAATTAAAAATGCACTAATCTATGCTAAATCCATATCCGGCACTAATATAATAATATTCTCTAGCTGCAGAAGTGCATTAGAAAAGATAAAAAATATTAACATAACCGACCAGTATGACGATTTAATTAAAGATGTATATGAAGTGTAATGAAATGCAAAACCTTTATAAACTAGGTTTTAATATACAAGAAATTAGCATTGTTTTGTTTGAATGAATAACATGACAATTACATATGACATTAACTAAAACTAAGATGACAAATGACAAACACAGTTCACAGACCACAGGACATTCACCCCAACTTTATTTTTGAACAAAGTCTTTAAGGTAAGCAGGAGTGTTTCTTTCCCTGGTACCTCTTCTAATAAGACTGTGTTTATTTTCTTCCTCTAAAACACTTTCAATATGACCTTGATCTTCCAGAATGTTAACAGGAGAAATATTTGGATTTTCCTCACATATACTCAATCTAGGGCTTGGTGGATCTTTGATAAACTGTTCATTAGAAACCGCAGATTCCGATCCACTAACACAGTCCAGAGATGCATCTCCTCGTGGTGCAAGTTGTCTTAAGGCTACTGTTGTTTCTTTACCATCTTCACGTCTAACAACAGCATAGTTTGGATTTGCTTCAATTAGCTGTACTTCTTCAACGAGGGGTTCATATTTGGACTGCCTCACATTTTTTTTCATAAATACTTTTCCGGGGTTATCAACCATGAAGGAAGTGCAGCTCCATTTATAGCTTTTCTGGAATGATGAAACATTCGCTCATGAGGGGTACTGTTTGTAGATGTACACAAAAGAGAACGAATTGAATGAAGAGCTATCTCAACTACTTCTTCCCACTGTTCAGTTTTTAAATGTTTAGATTTTAATGCAAGAGAAATAGTTTTTCCATATAATTCCATTATATCTTTCTGTCTGGCCATTTCCTTCAGGATTGTAAGATGTTGTTCGGCTTGTTGGTATTCCTTGTGAATGGAGAAATGTTTTGACTTCTTGAGACATAAATGCCCCCCCTTGGTCTGAATGGATATAACTAGGCATTCCAAATAAAGAGAATAAGTTTGTAAGACACTTCACAACAGTTTTCGCTGAAACATCTTGACATGGATATACAAAGGGGAATCGAGAATATTCATCAACAATTGTTAGGATATATTTGTTATGAGATCTAGATGGAAGCGGTCCTTTAAAATCCAGAGACAATCTTTCAAAAGGCGAAGTAGCTTTAATTAATCTCCCTTGAGTTTTCAAAAACTTTGGTTTTATTTCTGCACAGATAGGACAGCGATTGGTCATTTCACGGACTTCATCAATAGTATATGGTAAGTTGCGTGTCTTTATCCAATGGACCATTCTGGTGATTCCTGGATGACACAA